CTGCATTTACTTTCACAAATAAACTACACATAGGCTGGGTGCAGTGGCTCACACCTGTAATCCCAGCACTTTGGGAGACCGAAGCAGGTGGATCACCTGAGGTCAGGAGTTCGAGACCAGCCTAGCAAATGGCGAAACCATCTACTAAAAATACAAAAATTAGCCGGGCATGGTGGCCAGCACCTGTCATGAGGCTGAGGCATGAAAATCACTTGAACCTGGGAGGCAGAAATTGCACTGAGCTGATATCATGCCATTGCACTCTCGCCTGTGTGACAGAGCAAGACTCTGTCTCAAAATAGTGATAATCATCATCATCTACACATATATAAGCAAACACATTTACTTTGTTTCGATTAAAGGGTAGCATATAAATATTCTCTACCTTTTTTTCATTTAATTTTTCTTAGGAAAATTCTATATTGGTATATAAAGAACTTTCTCATCTTTTTTTTTTTTAAGATAGATACCTACAGTTTTCAATTGTTCAGATAGCTGAGAAATTTGTTGAGACCGCCTAGCAGCATGAGTACCTAAGAAGTCACATTTTCTTTCCACTGATTGTGGGATCGGAGCCATTAAAAAGCAACATTTGTGAAGAAAGCTCCTTTTCTCCGGAATTACAGGTTTCACTTTTCCCGTAGGTACTTTATTTCATACAAAGAACACAAACTTACGGGCTTGACGCTCTCAGGAGGTAAAAGGCACATGTCAATATGTAGTTAGCATCCAGGTAACTCAGTTGGCTTACAAGAGTTCACAAATGGGAGCCCAATGATTTTTTAAAAAGTGACTAAAAATACAGATTCTGATCAAACACCAACCACCAGCTTTAAGCTGAACCTAAACTGGGTAAATCCTAAACTACACTCCAATTTTTTTAAAGATTTTTCATCCAAAGAGAACTATTTTGAACTAAAACTCTGCATTCTTTTAAAACTGCCGGGTTGCACAAAAGTGGAACAAACAAGTTGCCTAATCAAATTGGGTCTACACTAATATTTTCATTCAAGGCATGGCAGCCCCAAAAGCCGTGGTAGGCACTAAATTCAACTTCCAGAGTGACGCATTGGCTATCATCTTACAATGTCTGCATGTAACATGAGGCCAGGGCTCAGATGGTGAACACAGAGCAGCCTGCCTCTCTCTGTCCTGGGTCTCAAGTACATACCTTTAAGATGTTTAAAGAATTCACTAAAATCACTATTAATTTGGTGAATAAAGACAAATTCTAAGCTGTCTTTTTCAGTATTTGTAGTTAGAGCTACAGGACAAATTCTTAAACATATCAGTACTTAGCTCTTGGAGACCAAGGGGAGCCTTGCTGCAAAGGGGCTATCTCTGGAGAGCTGGGCCCCTCACCACCCTAACAGGAGGTGGTGGTGGGTCTGAGAAGCAGTGGAGAGGTAGGTTTCCAGGCCGACTAAGAAGTATGCTGTGCCAGGCCTCTGCAAGACAGGAAGCTGGAATAGGGTTTGGTCCTGTGACCTAGATGGGCAAAGTGGGCAGAAGGTGAAGTTACCAGGGCTGCAGCAGGAACCTCTGCCTGCCTGGGACCCAAGGGTGAACTCCTTAACTTTCCATAGCACGGGTAACACAATGTTCCCATTATTTAAATCCTGCAACTCTTCCTTTCTCACATAACCAGAGAGGGTTTTTGCTCTATCCCCACTGTCATGCCTTGGGCTCAGGGCTTTCCACCTGACATTCAATTCTCACAATATGTCCACAGAGGGGATTCTATAGTTGGTCCTCAGTAACTGTGGGTTCCACATCTGTGGATTCAACCAACGGACGATTGAAAATATTCCAAAAAAACCCCAACCAATAACAATAGAAAAATCCACATAAAAATACAATACAGTGTAACAACAATTTACATAGCCTTGACATTGCGTTAGGTATGACAAGGAATAAAGAAATGATTTAAAGTATAGAGGAGGATGTGCATAGGTTATATGCCAGTATTACGCCATTTTATGACTTGAGCATCCACAGATTTCAGTATCTGCAGGGAGTAGGGTGGGGTTGGAGGTATCCTGGAACCCATGTCCTGCAGATACTGAGGGGTGACTGTATACCCCATTATAGATAAGAAAACTGACTCAGAGAGCTTACGTGACTAGCACATGGTCACACGCTGCTCAGTAATATAGCTTTTATTAAGTACCTACTTCTAGAATTGTTATTATCTCCCATGTTTGTCAGAGATGGAGGATTGTAAAATGGTTAAGGCTTCACATGGTGGTTAATCTAATACCCTCAATAATTCAATAAAATCTCAGTCAGTCAATCATACAGTTGAGGAAACTGAGGCCTGAGGTCACAGAGAGTGGAGCAACTAGGATCTGACCCAGGTCTCTGGCTCCAAAGTGCTGCCTTTCTCACTGATATGCTGGGTCAGCTTGCAAAGCAGCTCAACAACTCAGCAGTTCCATCCTGAGAGCCACTTCCTGGAGTGACAGAAAATTTAAACCACTGCAAAAATAAGGTCTGATGCATCTGGCCACTTCCAACTTAGACATCGGTTCCAGGTAGGCTGATGGGACACATGGCAACATAATACCACACAGCTGGTTTTTAAGCCCCCTGGAAGGTGGCTTCGCATGAACAACTGGTCTTGCTTTTGACGGGCTTCTGGTAGAAGTCACCCAATGAAGCTGAAATGGCCTTTAAGACAGGAAGGCAGTTTGAGAAACTCTGACACAGGGATGATAGGATTGAGACATCCTGGGATTAGGACCCAGTGGGAAGGACTTCTGATTTCCTGGAAAAGCTACAGCCACGACCCAATCCCAGATTAACTAGCCCCACCTCAGAGGCCTGGCTATCACTGCTGGATTTTTCTGGTTTCCTGCCCATGGAGCCCTAGCATAGCAGCATCCTCCTATACTCTGCCTAGAAGTCTACCCCGCCACTCTTCAGACTCTCTAGAACTTACTGCTCAATGAATTCTCTGTTCTCTCACCTGGGTCCCACCTGCGACCAAGTGGTACTCATGAGTAACCCTGACTCTAACTGGAGTTAAACTTTTTTTGACCTGTGGCTCTGCCAAGTTCATTCTTAGGGCAACTGGAATGTGCTTCTGTTGGCATTGCATGGAGGTGAAAGTTAGAGAGAAGGGGAAACAGTCAGTTTTGGACCTTTTCCCTCACTCTTCATAACAATACTGGAAGGTAACATCTGGCACTCTTCCCAGTCTATGTAAGGCTGCAGTCAGCCCTTCTGTTGAGACCAAGCAGAGCAGCACAGATTCTCATCTTTCACAGCAGAAATGGGTGCAAAGAGCAGATTCTGAGAAGTTCCCTTTGTACTTTTGTGCCCAGTGCCCAAAGAATGATGGAATTCCTATCAATCCAGCAGTGGAGACCTGGAAAGATGTTAGAGATTTCTGAAAAGCAGATAAATCACATTCAGTGTAATCTAGTTTAAAAATAGGCTTGAGCCAGATCCTAATTTGAATCTCAGCTCCATCATTTAGTTTGTGTGATCTTGGACAAAAGGAAACATCACTGATCTCTTTAACTCATCTATAAACTAGAGATATTATCTTCCTCATAGGTTCATTGTGAGGATGATCAGATAAAGGTCATCTTAAGAGGTACCAGCCATGTCCTTTCTTCTCTTGCAAATTTTTAAGTGTACCGCTCCTTCTCACAGCCTCCCCAAACCATAGGTGATTTGTCCAGATGTCCATCACTGGTCCAAGCATATCTGTGAACTAAAAGATGGCTAGGCCATTTTAGACATCGGAAGATGCTAAGAAAGGCAAGCCAGGAGAAAAATATCTATGTAAAACGAATCTGTAAAAATAAGCAGATAGGAGACGACAAAGCCCCCATAAAGAGGGCAAGCTTTGCCAGGTGGGACTTTGCTCCCTTGCAAGATTCACCAGGTCATTATATTTTGGCTTATACTTGTTGGAGTTAGCCTGTTTATGGCAACCAACAGACAGTATGTGAAGTACTTTGCTTAAGCATCTGCTTCTGTCTCAGGTGTTGGACTCACAGGAGCTATTATTTCAAAACCTCTCACTCACAACTTACTGCTATATGTTTAATTCCTGATGTCACTAATGTAAGCAGATACTCCATGGGACTACCTGAAAGACTACAATCTTAAATTAATCTAATTAGCTACAGTGTTTGATGAACAATTTATATAGTAACTACAGATGAAGCTCAAGACAAAGAACATGCTCTTCTATTTTTCTGTGTAATTCTTCACATTAAATAAATGCCTCCTTGACGAGTGAAGAAAAAATGATTATAATATTCCATTGAAGCTGAGAAATAAAGCAACCTGTTTATTTTTAAAGATAAACATGGCTGATCTGCACTAATCATAACATTTTGAAGGAAATAAAACAATAGTCAACATTTCTAGACTACAAATAAATACCCTGTTTTATTCTGTTAACCAAAGATGAAGTTGGAAATGAGAAAACTGAATGCTTATGGATTTAAAGGTATCAGAAATGGCATCTGATTTTTAGAAAATAAATATTAATGGAAAACGGCTATGGCAATGAACCTAAGAATGATATTTAAAAGTTTATACACAAACTTTACATACTTGACGTGACAAACTAAAACATTTTTCAAGTCCTTAATTATGAGAACAGCAGCAAATTTTAAGACAATTAAAAATCAGCATTTAAGAATCTGCTGTACTGTTTTGAATAAATGCAAAACAACTGTATCAGTGAAGCCTGGGAAAATTTCAATTACTATACTATTCATGCACTGGCTTTACATTTCACTTTCAAATGCGTTCCCTCATGCTGGATGCAAACTGGGTACCTTCAGATACAACAGCCTGGATGGGGAACAGGGTTACCACATATGGCTGTAGGACCAGTCTCGCTGCATTACAGTTACAGCACATAAACAACTCTGCCTAACTAAAACAGTAAAACCAGACTCAAATGCACACCCTTATGTTACAAACACATCACATATCAGGATTACAAATCATAGAAATAAAGACAAATAATGGCATGAAGGGCATGATAGTTTATTTTAAAAAATTGTACCACACTGATCATGATGACCAGCATACACATGATAATGGCTTTTCTCTTGGGTTTAACATTGCAGTATTTTTGCATACTGCAATGTTTCAATAGGACCAAGAACGTTAGAGAATAAAGATCTTAGATGAAAATGAACACTAGTAATTCTAGTGTCCTCCCCCACAGAATTAATTTAAATCCCTTATGAATCAGTGGCATTATAATGTTATGTGGTTATGAAGAATGAAAGTTCTCTTAGAAGTAGGCAGCATCAATTTATACTTATACTTCCTTGTACTTTCATCTTTAGTTTTTATAATTTAAGCTATGTCCACCCTGGCTAAAGTACAATCATACAATATACCTCAGATAATTTCCATCCTACCATTGCACAAGTTTAGTAATTTTACTATTAAAAAAAAAATCAAACCACCATCAAAATAAAGAGGCAAATAAAAGTAATTTTTAAATCATTTGAAAAGCATGGTGCTTATTTGTCCAATACAGACTCAAACTTAAATGCTACAGTTATAATTTCCAAACTTCTGCAAAATTAGCATTTATATATACATATGGGTTTTGTTTATAGAACTGTATTTTGCAACCAACAGGTTTTAGAAAACAATATATTTGGTTACAGTTCCACATATCTGTAGTAAAGACAAAGCCACATAATGTTCATGATGTTAAATCTGGCTCTAAGTAATAAAAGGTACAAAATTTTGACCAAATACCAAAATTATGATAATCTGATCTTAAGAATTCAACCCATATGAAACTACTTTTTAGAGAATAAATGTGCTGTTGAGTATTATTTCAGTAACCCTTTTTTATGAGTTCTGCAAACTGATCCTTCTCTTTAATCTTTGTGACTCACCAATATTTCAAAGTGGCCTCTTCATTTCCATGTTACTGTTGTCTCAGTACCCAGGGACTTCTGAGGCAGCATAAGTTTGACTTCATAAAAACAGTAGATACTTTAACAGTGACAGTTTTAAATCTGTATACACTCAATAATCACATTAGTTAACTCAGCAACTATAAAAACATTGAGATTGTGGCACCGCAAGCCAGAATCTCTTTGTGCTTTTTACATTAAGCTGCTTTTCAATTTTTTTTGGTATTTATCAGCCATCTGTATTTCCCTTATAATAATAAAAGAATATATTTAAAATAAATTTTAAGGTTAAATGTCCTGGGGGCTTATGAATACTTTAAAAAAAAAAAAACACAGTATAAATCAATTATCTTTTTTCCTTCAGTATTTGGAATAGCAAAAATTATTTCTGGTCCCTCCTTAAATCAATCAACATCATTTTTCATGACATATAACACTGAAATTTACAGACATCCCTGAAAAGTTTTAAGTAAACGAGTGAATCACAGTGGAGTCTCAATCAGTTAACAGTGTAGATCCATTTTTTTTTTAAAAAACTGAATATTAAAAGAAAATCTTCAAGGGAAAAACAAAAACAAAGCCCTCCTAAGAACTAAAGCCAAGTGTGTGTTGTCAATGATGCGATACTTTTATCCCCTGACTGATTTAGACTCCTCCTTCTCATGTTGTAAGACATGTTTGCTGAAATCTTCATGCCAAGCTTTTGGGACGCCTGGGTGAAGAGGCTATGCTACTGTTGCATCTAAGGGAATAGTGGCACCATTTCTTCCCTAATAGATTTCATATCCAAATATGAGCAATGAGTCTCACTCCCCTGCATTCACGAGCATCTTATCAGGAGATAATACTTGCTGTGCAAATTGATGACAGCTGATCCTCCCACCCCCATCCCCTACTGCCAATATGAGGTTATCATCAGTTTATCATTATATGCACTGGCCTTTCACTCTTTCAATCAGAAAAGCTGTGACTTACTTTAAAAAGATGAGGGAGGGACTGGGAGAAATGAAAAACCAAGAGTCTAAAGGCACAAAGTCGCATAGCTGCTCTAGTTGGAGTTTGTAAACAGAGAATAGGTCGAATTTAGGTAATCCCAATCTATGAGAGTAAAAAGGCATCCACAGCAGGCCTTTATCCAGCCAGCTTCTTTGAGACCCTTCATGGGTTTTGAGGTCTACAAAGTATGCACTAAAATACCCATACTTCAAAAAGCAATAAGGCAAATAGTATAATCATTATTCCAAAAGTTACAATGGTAGTGTAGGCATACATAGTATAATTTAGTTACAATGTGGTACTGTTTCTATTATATAACCATATTAACTGTTTATTTCCTACATAATTATAAATTCAGCTGGGTTTCAGTTGAACACAAAACCGTCCTTGTACCACCACTGATAGCTGGCAATAGCTCTTTGATACCAGTTTTAATTCTGCTGTAGAAATTATCCTTGAACTGAAAAATGTCCACAATCCAATGTCCAGTCATTAAACACTATCATATTTGTGAAGAGCTTCTTCCAACTTCTGGGTCACTTTTTGGAAAAATATTATTTGTTGTTGTAAGAAATGCTGCATCTGTGATTTAAAGTCTCTTACTCGTATTTGATGGAAGTGATGAATTTCAGCCAAAGTGGCAAAAGAAATAGTGTTACAGCGATCCTGAATGCCGTCAGCCTTCTGCACCTCCATCTTCCCTTCCTCCACGTGTCGCCTACTCTCCTTGACTTTGGTAAGAGCTCCTATAATTAAAGATAACAATTAATTAACAACCTATATCCACATATCCCAATGACATAACTACATATTAAACAGAACCTTGGGCATTATAAATAATTGCTCAAACCACTTTAAATACCTTTGAAATTTAAAGTGAGGACCATAATTACTCATTTAAAAAAAAAAGAAGGAATCTGGTAAACTTTCTGAAAACATTCTTTGTTAAAATAACTCTTCAAAAACGAGTGTTTGACATACTGATCAAGTATCTGTAGTATCTCATCTCTTCCAAGTATAGATGCTATACATAAATGATAATAAACTGCAAGGAAATGTCCTTAAGGAGACAAGAAACTGTAGTTTTCACAGGCTTAACAGGTGTGACATCATTATTTCCACATACATTAAGAGAATTATACTGTTTATAAAAACATCCCATAAAGGAATCAAACCCACTTCCTCAGAACGTCTCACTAAATAATTAAGACTCTTGAACCAGTCTCTGAAACAAGTTAGTACCAACACAGGTTGTGTTTTGGAAGGTGCTTGGCAATGTTGCCGGTCTACAATTGGAGGCCACCCATCAGGGTTGGCCAAGCTCATATCTTGTCATCCAGAGTAAACACCCAGCTGAAAAGTGCCTGGTGAATGGGTGAATTGTGAACACGTCTGATTCTGACTTCATGTTGCATCAGGAGACCCACACCTGGAGTACAAGGGCCTTAATAAGATTTGCCCCTTTTTTGGAACTATAAGGATCGGTGAGTGTTAACTCTGCCCTAATGATGTCTTAGGAATGGTGCCAGTGATTCCATAATCTCTCGCCAAGAAGTATCAACAGAGGGCATTCCAGGGGAGAAGTGGAGGATTAACCAATCTGGCAGGTGCCATATGAAGGTAGGCCCTCCCCTGGAAGCAGAGTCATACAAAGACACAAAAGATTGAGGATGTTTAGGGCTATTCCTGGGTTCTTGAGAATGAGTAATGGTAAAGCTCAAATAACTCAAACAAAGCCAGCTTAAGAATTTCTCAACTTTGCCTAGCACTGATTCCACCAAACCATGCTGAAAGACAAGACAGAATACAGAGAAACGGCTAGCGTGCCTGGCTTGGCAGTCTGAGAACACAGTAGTACTGAGGAGAGAACCAGGAACACTGAGCAGGAGGAGGTACAGAAACTGAGAGACTTTGTTTCGGAAATGGTGTTTTACCCAATGGTGAAATATACAAGGGAAGATGCCTTATTTCTACATTTCCTTAAATCTCCTACAGAATAATATAATATAAATCTAGTATTAAACAAAACCCTTAAAGGTAAAGCAGCATGCTTTTTTGGCATAGTTCAAAGACCTGAGAAAGGAAAAACCACCAACAGGAAATTTCATCCATATATATGTATGTATGTGCAGGTGTGCACATAAGTACACATTTATTTTCATTGATTTATTCTAAATGAGATCTTTAAGTGAAAAGCGGCAGAGTTTTGAAACAAGAACACATGGGTACTGTAGCTGCACGGAGTACACAAGCCACACACCACTTCCACCTAACCCATGGCAGGGAAGTGTGCTCTGCTAGAAAGACCCCTGCCCCAGTTCTACTAAGAAGCCCTCACTCTGCAAGTGCAGCCCTTTAAACAGTTCTACTATGGCTGACAGCATCAGCAAAGCACTAAAATTTGACTGCTTGAAGAGAAAGACATCTCCCCAACATAAAAAATCAATAATTTCTCGTAGAACATTTATCTTTGTTATATTTGTACAGGTTTCACATCTCATTTACAGAAATTGAAGTTGAAAAGACCAGGAAAATATAACATGCAAAAAATAGAGGAAAAAAAAATTCAAAAAGACCGAGAATGTACAGTGATAAAATACATGTTTTATAATGATAAGGAAGAGAATAGGAAATTAAAAGAGAAAAATCTCAAGTGATTTGACTATATTTTCATCTGATTTCAATCCAAGGTACCTGAGGAAGCCATAATCCAATGTTCAAATGCTAAGGACCAGTACAGAGGATCCCACATATCCTGATCTGTGTAATGGTTGTTACCTGTATTGGTAATATTATGCAAGTATTACCCGCTGTAATTACTAGAGCCTGGCTTTTCACCATAGTGAATAGAGTCCAGTATAGAGAAGTTCTGAAACCTGGCCTTGAATTGTATGAATGTCAACTAAGTTCCAGCTTGACAAACTCCAAATGAGTTCACCATATTTTGTATTATATAGAAATACAGATGTGCATCCATAACAACCAATTTAAAAACCAAGAAGTCCATGGCTTGCCATGGTGGCTCATGCCTAAAATCCTGCCAATTTGAGAGGCTGAGGCAGGTGGATGGCTTGAGGTCAGGAGTTTGAGAACAGCCTGGCAAAACCCCATCCCTATGAAAAATACAAAAAATTAGCCAGACATGGCAGTGCACGTCTATACTCCCAGCTACTCAGCAGGCTGGGGCAGGAGAATCACTTGAACCAGGGAATTGGAGGTTGCAGTGAGCTGAGATCACGTCACTGCACTCCAGCCTGGCAACAAGAGTGAGACTCTGTCTCAAAGAAAAAAAAAAAAAAAAAAAGGAACAAGTCTAAAGTTTTTACAGCTTACCATATCAGCATACATTTTCAAAACTCTTGGATACAGCAATAAGTATTAACATCTATTAGGCCCCAGGATCTGCCAGTATGTAATACCTTCAAGCTTGCTAAGCATACAGAGTAGAGGAGCCAAGAAGAATTTAGGAGTCATTTTTAGCCACAGGCGCCTGTAATCCCAGCTGCTCGGGAGGCTGAGGCAGGGGAATCACTTGAACCTGGGAGGTGGAGGTTGCAGTGAGCCGAGATCGTGCTATTGCACTCCAGCCTGGGCGACAGAGAAAGACTCCATCTCAAAAAACACACACACACACAAAAACCCAAGACTCATTATTTTCTCAAGTGTGAATTTATTAAGTAAATGACACAAAATGTTGCTGTTTTTAAACTCCCCAAAAGGTTAGGCTCTGGGGCAAGAATTTTAATGTGAACATTTATGGAAAACCTGGCATGTATAGAGCACACTGACATAACAGCGAGATTCAAACAGGAGCCACACCGCAAAGCACCGTCAGGGCAGGCACTCTACCCTGACACAAAGTGAAACAGGTCCACAAAGCACACAATTCCGCATGGGAGTTGAACGTGGCTTCCTCCAAGACACGTGACCAATGTTACAATGGAAAATGCTCAGAGGGCACCCAGCACTGCGCTATGGATGGTGGCGGGGTGGAGGGCAGGAATAGAATATCTGAACAGTAAATGGCAGCTGCTGGAAATAGTAATAACATATGCTAGGCACTTTCCATCTACTGTTTCTAACCTTCAATACAACTTTACAAGAGACATTACTCCTAGTTTTACTACAAGGACATTGAGGAAGTTACTCAACATCTTTGAGCCTAACAGTCATCCAGTTAACCCAGTAGGAGGCTGAGATGGGATCTGAATGCATAACTGACTTCAAAGCAAACACTACTATATAGACGAGAACTTCTTAGTCTATTTAGAAGAGAAACTGTTAGCCGGGTGCGGTGACACATGCCTGTACTCCCAGCTACTCAGGAGGTTGAGGCGGCAGAGTCAAAGGTCTGAGGCTGCAGTGAGCTGTTATCAAGCCACTGCACTCCAACCTGTGCAATAAAGCGAGACCCTGTCTAAAAAGTTTTAAAAATAAAAACTATATAAAATTGCAAATGAAGATATTAAATAGCATACTATAAATGTGCAAACTTGTGGAATAAGGAGAGCTATGTGTAGTCAAGAAAGATTATACATCCATAGAATTGCACCCACAAATGTAGAGCAAGTTTTTAAAAACAAAAATAACTTCCTTTAACTGAAATGTAACTCAATGGATTTTCTCTCATACTCACCTTAAAAAGAAAGATAAAAGATGATTAGCAATAAAACAAGTTGATAGTAATATACTTAAGACAAATTAAAAATTGAGAGTTCCTGAATATATCCTGAATTGAAGAGAATGGCCGTTAATGTTCAGGATGACAATGCCAAGGGCCTTCCAACATCTGAAGCCAAATAAAAAAGTGAACTCATAAAATATTTTGCAAAGTTTTAAAATATATACATCTTTTCCCAGGAAAATCATTTGTTTTCAAAAAAATTCATCTCACAACTTTCTAATTAACTTTTTCTATACACCTTTTAACAAACAGTAAAGGTATCGGTGCTTTCCTCCCTATGAAAAAGATAAGCCAATTATGGAAGTCAATTTACTAGTTTACTGACTGACTAGAAGTAAGTAGAAAAAAAAATGACATCTTTTAAACAGCTCAAGTGATCCATAAACAGAGAGCAAGAGTGCTTAACACTTGGGAACTAACATACAGAACCACTATCTGGGGTTCCCAGGAAGCTTCCCTCTGCCCACCTCTGCCCATTGAGTTCCTAAGCTCGGAGTTTCTCAAAAAGGAAGTGGAAACACATTTTTCCAATAGAAACAATATTACAAGCATTGGATAGATGTGAGTGAAATGGTATTATGATCAGAAGTAGAATTTGGGTTTTGTTACAAACGGCTGGGTTCTCAGTTGATCTGACAATGCTCAAACTGGGTATTATGTGTACATATTTTTAGGCTTCATAATTATATTCATATTCAAAATTTTACACATCACAAGAAAAGCAGAGAGCACAATTTTCAGCTCCAGCATGTTGGAGGTGGAAACTATTGGAGCAGTTAGATCATTAGAGACTTGCTACTTCTAGGATAGCTTTAGAAATTAAGTAATTTGTAGCTGCATAAGAAACAATGGCAGAGGTACAATGCAACCAGCTGCAGAGCTGGAACAAAGTATGATAGCATTTTTTAAGCATTCGGCCTGTAGTGCCTTGTTTTTTAACCAAAGGCGAGGAGCATAAATGAAAACTAAAAATGTTGCCCAGAATCTGAGTAACACAAGGACTACACATTTTTATCATGCAACCAATATGAAAACAGGCAATTACATCAGTGGCTAATTTAG